GACAGTGCAGACCTTAGGCAAGTGGTTTAACCTCTCTGAGTCTTGGTCTCCACATCTGTAAAGTGGGAGTAATATGAATTGGGTGAGATTGTATAAATATAGCATTTAGCACAGCACCTGGCATACTAGAACAGGGCAATCACTTTTCACTATTAGCTCTTCTTTCTAATGAGATGAGGTGCTCAGAAAAAAAACTGTGATTTCAAGTGAGGTACCGGTAGTAATTTTACTTGCCTCTTTCAGGACAGACTGTGAAACATCCTTTGGGAGATTAGAGAGAGGAGGCACTCCTAGCTTTGCATTGGGACTTTTGATGTGGACAGAGTCAAGGAGAGGCAGTCCAGGCCAAAGCCATTTTCATTGGCTTTGGGACAGTGACCAAGACCAGTTCCTGAGTTCCACGTGGAAGAATCCTTTGGGCCAGACCTCTGTCTGCACTCTCCCTGCTAGGAGGACAGGACAGGAAGTTTCAGAGTTTAGTCATACTTCAGACCAATCCTGGGGTTCATTCACTTACTCACTCACTTGTTCCGCAAGCATTTCTTGAGTACCTGCTATGTGCCAGGCGCTGTGCCACAAACAGGCACAATGATAAGCACGACACATGCAGTCTCTGCCTCTCTCAGCTTGATTATTAGAGGAGATGGACATTAAGCAAATAATTACACAAATAATCATATTCTGTAATTATGATAGGTGTTGGAGCTTTTCCTTAAGTGACTGAACTTCCCCTTGTGCCTCTTGGTCTGAAATACACTATGATATAATACTTCACCCTTGAGAAAAGGAAGCAGAAACTAAGGTCCCAGGATGAAATGTTCAAATAACATTCATAAATCTTGCGATCATGTACAGAAACTCTTAGCATAGCAGAGTGAAAGTTGCCTGTTGTCATTGTCTTTATTTGCTTTTGGACATCATGTCAGACTCCAGATATGACATGCTTTCTGGCATGCTTTCTGGCAAGAACCCGTTTTTGGTTCTTCTGGGGAAGTAGGTACAGAAAGCTCCATAGACTTTTCAATGCTTGTGGTCTTCAGTCTTGAGAAAAGGAACTAGAGGGCAAGCCACGTGCAGTTTCCCCGCATCTGGGCAGAGCAGGGTCTTCAGCTCCCTTCAGAGCTGCGTTGGCACCTCTGGCACTCACATTGGTTACTAGATTAGAGTTTTAGATCTTTAAACATTCTTCATACTGTTTGAAGAAGCTACAATTAACATCTCCCAAGCAGCTCAGCAGAACTTGGTTGCTAGGCAGCAGACATCTAAAGACAATTTGTCAATTTCTGCCAAAAGGGAAAAATAGTAAACATTCACATTCTTAGAAAATTGCTTGTTTTCCAGCTTCCAACTTCCTTGCCATGGCAAGGCCTCCAGTTCATCAGTGTCCATTTTATTCCTTATTTAGTTTTCATAAATAATTCAGAGGCATTTTAGGAGAATAATCGAGCCTTTTTTTAAGCCTAACCTTTGGCAGTTCAAAACAGAAAGATGTTTGGGTTGCTGTGTTTGTGGACAGGTTTTGTATGAATGTACAGGGGTTCCTTTGGAAGGTACAGAGTACCGAGCTGTAGCCTTGGGCAGCTACCCAGAAAGGTGGTAGCAGATCCATGGGAGGCTCTTGAGTAGTTCAGCCTTAGTTAGCACCTAGCATGTGTCAGGCCCTGCGTGCACTGCTGCAGCAAGAGACGAGGAGATTCCAGTACAGGGGCTGTGGAAGTTCAGAGGAGCCCAGAACTCAGCCTGGCATCAGGGAAGGCTTCCCAGAGCAGATGTGGGCTGGACTAATACCCTAAGCATGAAACAGGCTGCCCCCACTTTGGCAGGGAGAAGACTGTCCCAGCAGGGTCCTCTCATGTGCCAAGGGTGAAAAGTACTTGGGAGGGAGACTACCCGTGCATCCTTGTGGCCATGGGGCCTGGTAGACTCTGCAGCTCAGCCTGAGGGCAGTGGGAAGACAGTAGAAAGCCACTGGAGAACTTGGAACTTGCGAAGGTCACTGATTTGCATATTCCAGCCCTTGGGGAAACCACTTGATTTGGCTTAGGGTTAACTCAAGGGCATTGGCCATGAGCAGGTGGCCAAGAGGGGCTGGGGTTGTGCAGGGGTGCTGAATGGCTCCGGTGTTGTCTATCTGGGCTCCTTTGCCACTTCCAACATGAAGGACCTTGTGTAGGTTATTAAACTAACCTGAGTCCCGGGTTTCTCAACTGTAAAATAGGGATAATGGTAGCACCCACCTCACAGAGTTGGTATAGGGACTAATAATTCAAGAACAGCCGTTAGACTGGCACTGGGCACACAGTGCTCTTTAAGTGTTGACTGGTACCATTAAGATGGTGCTGCCCTTCCTGTGCTTCCATCAGTCCTCTGCCCAAAAGGGCCACAGGTAACCAGTCTGCCCCCTGCTGCCTGAATGACCGCAGATGAAACTTGCAACTCTCTTGGGACTGAAATCTTTTTTCTCTCTCTCTCTCTCTCTCTCTCTCTCTCTCTCTCTCTCTCCTGAATCTCCCTGACTGAATTGAGCACGGGATCCCTTCCAGCTCTTGAGCTCTCAATGCCAAGCCTGTTCCTAGGTCAGGGCCACCTCTCCCCCCGCTGGTGTGGCTTGGCACTCTGTCTGTGCCTTACAGACTAGGGCTGCCTCTTGCTCCATTCAGTCCACGTGCTTGGGTTATTTCAGCTCTGGATATATGCATGGTGTGTATCACCTGTTCATGGGGGTTCAAAAAGCATTGCCAAGGAGCCAGCTGGGGGCCCAGAAGGGCCCTTTTATTCATGCATTCATTTAATCATCCACTCAGTCACTATTTATTGAGCACCTACTATGTGCCAGTCACCCTGCCAGGCATTGAGAATGTTGCAGAGAATAGGACAGGTGTGGCAGGAGAGATGACAAGAAGCAAGCAACACGCATACACCAGTTAATTTTCAGGAGTATAAGTACTGAGACATGAGGCAGAATGATGGGCTGGAAAGTGGCTCTGTCGGGTGGTTGGCGGCCCTGAGTCAAGGTGATCCCTCAGGGGTGACATTTAAACTACAGCCCAGGATCAGGGAACAGCAAGAGGTTTCAGACTCACCTGTGCCTTTTTGGAGGGGCACACAGTGACACTTGGCTCTTGAACGGTTGATTTCCAGTGCAAGATGACAGGCTTTCACTGTTGGGCGGTTCCTTTTGGCATCAGAGCAACAGGGCATTAGATGTCGAACCACGTGGCTTGCCAGGGTTGGGAGAACTTTGAGACAGTCACCAGTCCACTGTGGGTTCAGTTTACCCCCACCAGGTCGTATACTGGGTCCCAGAGGGAAATAACCCAGCCCCAGCCAGCAAAGGGAGGTGCCGAAGGATACCACAGAAGCACCCAATAACTGAGTTTGTGTTTTTCTATCAGCCGTCTTGCTACTTGCTAATAAGATATGCAAATTATCAGGGCTGTGAAATCTTTGCACATTTCATCTTCTGTTTAATTAGCATTTAATCGTAATCTCATTTTAATTTTTTCACACTGGCACCCTAATTAAATGTTAGGGTGTTAGCCTTAACAATTAAGTTATATTGGCAAATAGAGTCTTCAAGAAACTTGACCTTTTGCAAGCCAGGGCCCTCTCTAGCTAGATGCAGACATTAATTAGTTTTCTGCAAGATGCTGCCTTGAGCCCCCTTGGTGTGCCCATTTCAGTTGTGTCCTTGTGGTTACAGCCCTAGATTCAAGTGAGACACACAGCCAGCGGGTGGGGCCTCCTGCAGGCAGAGATGACCACTGAATGGCTTGTCACGAGCCTCTGGAAGGCCAGTGGATGCTGATTCTTCCGGGGAGGGGAGTGGGCTCGGAGCTGGGTCTGAGGCCTGAGGACTCCTTGAAGTGGTTTCTCTTCTCTCCACACTGTGAACTCTCCTTTAACTTGTGATTCTCATGTGATGATCACTGGGAAAGTTGGTACCAAAGCAAGTCACACAGTGTCCAGTGCTGCCACCAGGTCCTACAGCAGCCCTTTGTGGAGGACCCAGTGAGGCCGAGCAGCCAGGGCAGGTGAGGCACTGCCAGTGCCACTGAGGCTTGCCTTGGAGGTTGCTCTGGGGTGGGGGCAACAGACAGAATGTGGGAAGAGCTGTTTCCCCCCGAGTGAGCAGGTGCTCAAAAGAAAACCAAAGCATGAGGGTGCGTCCAGTCACGGCCTGGCCCTGAGGGAATTTGGATGGGCTTGATTTGAGAAGGAATTCAACACACTCCTCCTACCCCATCACAAACAGAGAATGGTACTTCAGAGCTCCCACCGAGCAGGGCTCATGGTATCCTTGTTCTTTTTTTTTTTTTTTTTTTAATTTTTATTGGAGTAGAGCCGATTTACAATGTTATGTCAGTTTCAGGTGTACAGCAAAGTGAACCAGTTATACATATACATATATCCACTCTTCTTTAGGTTTTTTTTCCCATAGAGGCCATCACGATATCCTTGTTCTTGAGAGACCATGGAGACCCTGACCCATGAGAGGCTATTCTCTGGGCTGCCCCAAACCCTGGGCTCTCCCTCAGCTATCTGCACGAGGCCCTGGCACGTAGTTGCCTGGACTCTTTGACACTAGTGACTGTGGTAGCAACAGCAAACATAACTTTGGATCTTCAGCAGAAATTTCTGAACAGTTACTTCACGGCAGTATTGCATTCACAGAAGCCTTTCTGCCATCTGATGTTTCCTCACTGTTTTTGCTTTTCTCAGCAAGTCTTTCCTCTTCTCTCTGAGGTCCACTACCGTCCATCACTCACATTCTGTCCTTGAGCAGGTCACAGCACATAAATTCAGTCCAACACATTTATTGAAGATCTTCTGTGTGCTGGGTTCAGAGAAGATGCATCCTTGTACTTAGTACTTTTGTGCCATCTTCTTATTTTTGAGTGAGTGGGCTTTCTGCATTTGCCTTTTCCTGCCCTGGCCTGTGAAGCAGATCACACTGAGGCAATCTGAAGCCATTCTCTCTCCACCTTTGCTCCCCACAGGTTTTCCGGACAGACTTGATCACAGCCATGAAGATTCCAGACTCATACCAGCTCAGCCCAGATGACTACTATATCCTGGCAGACCCATGGCGACAGGAATGGGAGAAAGGTGTGCAGGTGCCTGCGGGGGCAGAGGCCATTCCAGAGCCCGTGGTGAGGTGAGCCGGGAAGCCCAGGCCAGGGGGGCCGTAGGCAGGGGATGAAGGGGAGGCTAGGACCAGTCAAGGGATTCCTTTCTAGTGTGTCTCTATTCTTAGATTCTTTTGCCCTAAAAAACACTGCAGTGTTCCAGAAATACTGCAGGCCAAGGGTTTGAGCTTGGGCTCAGCTCTGGAGCCAGACAGCCTGGGTTCAAATTGCCAGTCATATTCAGTGCGACCTTGGGCCAGAAATGTAATCTCCCTGGGTGTCAGTTTCCTTGTGCATAAAATGGGAGTGATAACAATAGCACCTGCCCCATGCAGTGGTTGAGATAATGTAGAGAAACGATACATGGCAGGTCCTGGACACAGGACCTGGCACACATGAGCACTCGGTGAAAACTGGCCATGGATTAGCTTGACGTCGATCCAGACTGGGTCCCACCAGAGGATCTTCTCAGGGAAATCTCCAGGTTTTCAACTAGTCCTTAAGATAGGGATAAGCCACGCTCTTGACTTCTTCAGCCTTTTTAAGGAGTTCTTAGCAGGAGGGAATCCAGTGCCTGGCACACACATCAGATGTTCACGAAGCAGTTGCTACGACCAGGCTCTGAGGAGGCCCTCCTGCCAGGGCTGGGCCAGGGTTGGCTCAGGGATGAGTCCTCTTTGGGCTGTGGTGCCTTCTGCTCTTGTAGGTCAGAGAGACGCCTGGTGCTCTTGTCAGGAGGTGGCCTTGTGGCCGTAAGCCTTGCATCCAGTGACAGAGTTCAGCCAAGTGCTTCTTGCTGCACCCCGGGAAGCCCTCCAAGTCATGTCTTGGGACACAGGGGCCTACTGTCCTGGCCTTCTCTGCCCACCAGCTTGCCTGGGCTGGGCAGCTTGTGTTATTGGCAGTTCATTCCCGGCCTTGGCAGCCCTGTGGCTCTCACTTAGGCCCATTTTGACCAGGCCTGGGGCAAAGATCTCAGCTGTCACTCCCTTGACATTGGCACTGTTGCTTCCTGGCAGCCACACCTATGACTGGCTCACAGACACCCAGTGCCTGCCTGATGCCAGGCCTGTGCTGGGCATGGGATTACAGAGGTGAAGCGGACTCTAAGCCTCACTCGGTGGTCAGTGAGGATTGGGTGTTGGGCAGTGCTCAGCCTCCTGGGCTCCCAAGGGCTGAATGCCTACCAGCTCTTGTCTTCAGCCCTCTGAGAATCAGGGAAGCTCCAGGACTCTCTGGACGGGAGTGTATGTGGGATTTAGAGAAAGAATTTATTCTACACATCCTCTGCCCAGGGCCAAAAACGTGGGTCGGCCTCCTAGCCAGTTTCGCACCCTCAGCTCTGCAGACTGAAGAACTGTTACTGACCTCTTTGAACCTGTTTCCTTCTCTGTAAAATGGGTCTAAAAACAGTACATGCCTGGTACTGTGGTGGTGAGGATTAAATGAGAATTCGCATGCCAGGGGCCCAGGATAATGAGGCAGAGGGGTGGGCCACCAGCTGGGCAGAGAGGAGTGAGTCCTGCTTAGGCTCAGCCAGCAGTCTGTCCTCTGTCCTTGATGTCAGTGTCAGGTGGTTCCAGAAACAACCGCCGGCCTGGGTGATTACTTGCAGATGCCTCCACACCAGTAGCTTGGCTTCAGTTGGTGTTTTACCTGTTGACATCAAGACGAGAGCATGTGTTCAGACAGTTTTGGCTTTACTAGGTACATTCCCCACATACACATGGCTGCTCTAGGCTGACAGGAGCCAGGCACTCCTGGACCATCCATTGCTCTTTGAAGAGGATAGACTGGAGGGGGAGGGATGCTCTCTTGGAAATATCTCTGTGCCCCATCTTTCCCTGTCTCCCTCCAGCCTGGTCCCTACATCTTCTGGGGTGCCTTCCACTGCACAGCCCTCATCTGGAAGCTAGCACGGCAGCCACCATGCTCAGAATTGTTATAGGAACTCTGTTCCTGAGAACTTGCTATGCTGAACCTGTTAACGCTCATCTTCTCATTTAATTATCATATTGGCCCTCTAAAGGGCATATTGCTGTCCCCATTCTATAGATGAGGAAGTCAGGAAATTCTGGGGAATTCCCTGCCTGACCACCACCAGGGCCTTGTGGGCTGGGCCGGGAAAACACAGGCCACGGGAACAAGCCCTGGGTTGCCCCTGTGTGTCCCAAAGAGAGTCTTATGCCCTGATCACCCTGGCTCGCTGACTCTGCCCTCCCCTGCTGCTACCCTGGCTCCCTCCATCCCTCTCTCCTTGCCCAGTCCTCCCTGGCCCTTGAGCAGGTCTGCCCACCTCACGGTCTGAAACTTCCCTGGATAATGAGAACCTCTCACTCTCAGATCATGAATTGAGGGAGGGCCTACACTGCTCCCTCAGTGTGGCCAAAAGACTCAGCTCAGGGCAAAACCAACCTCTGGTGTCTGTCTGGTCTCCTGGAGTAGAGAGCCCTCCCCTTCTCCAGATCCCAGCCCAGCCATCCACCTCCTCCCAGATGACCTCAGTCTTACTGGCTGCTGCTGAGACTGAGGCCTTGGCCTAGGGTAAGGTCTGTCCACCCTTGATAGGAGTGTTTCCTCCATAGTCAGAGCCAGAAGAGGCCAAACAGATGAAGATGAGAGCCCCAGGAAGTACAGGAAATGCGTTTTTTGTTGTGAGCCCTCTAACCTCAGCTTCCCAGAGGAAGGAATGTGATCTTGGCCCCAAGAGGTCTGGCCAGGTGGCAGCTGACTGAGCATACAAGTGTGGGTAGTTAGGCCAGTAGGTGGTGGGCATTCGGGCAAGAGTTATCCAAAACCCCAGCTAAGCGTATGCTGGGGGCACAAACAAAGCAGGGTCATGGCAAAATTACGGTGTTTTTCAAAGACTATGTTAATTTAAATAAGAGCCCCGTGAGGAAAGGCAGAATTTTGTAGGACCAAGAGTACTAATATTCCTTCTACTTGGAATGATCTGGGGGCCGGGGGGCATCACGTCATTATCTTTGCCTGAGACCTTCCTTGATCTGGGCATCTTGTGTGGGAAAAGGTGGTGCCAGCAGGCCCTTTCCCTTTCTCCTTGTCTCCCTCAGTCTCCTCTGGGCCTCCCTCTAGCCTGGAGGCCATTCTGCCTCCCTGTCTCCTTCATCCTTCCTGCCCCCCTTGCTGACACCGGGGCATTTCCTGGCACCCAGGAGCCCTCCCCACAGCTGAGCCACGTCTGTGCATCCAAAGCCCTGCCTTCTCCTCCCCAGTCGGCGCTGAGTCACAGCCCCTGGCAGCCCTGCCTTCGACCCCAGGAGGCCTCTCGGGCAAGTAAGGGGCCTCTCAGCCCTGGCAGGGCTGGCCAGATGGAGGCCAGGCTCCGCAGCAATAACCATGGCAACTGGTAGGGGGTGGGAAAAGCTGGCATTCTGAACTGGCATCAGGAACTGAGGGGCAGCACACAGCTGATTGAAGAGAGGAAGCTGTGCTCTCCCAAGGCAAAACACCCTCATTCCATTTCAGAAGAAGCAAAGTGTATATCTTAAAATACATACTCACACACATATAGTGCTTACTACATGCCAGGCACAGTTCTAAGAGCTCTACATGTATTCATCCATTTAATCCTCATGCCAACTGTAGAAGGTAGGTGCTGTTATCATTAGCCCATTTTCTGGGGCACAGAGAAGTTAAGTGGCTTACCCAGAGTCACACATTAAGTGGTGGAGCTGGACTTGGAGACCTCACCCTGCAGTCAGGGCACTTCCAAGCTGCCTCAGGGGCAGAGCCATGGCCTGAGGGTGGGCTGACCTGGAGTGTGACCCTGAGACTGTAGCAGGTGCATCCTCTTCACCCCAGAGGAGCCCTAGCCTCAGTGCCCCCGAGGCTATTGGTGGAGGAGGGGCCAGAGCTTGTGAGGGCCTGGAAATAATCCCTGGCCTCTCCCCAGCTTTGAGGGGTATGCTGAAGGACCTGGAGGCCAGCTGGCTCTATCCCCCTGGTCCCAAAGTGGCTGGCACTGGGCATTGCCCAGGACAGCACTTGGAATGCCTCCTACAGCCTCTGCAGGGTGGGCAGGTGGGAGGAGGGAATGCAAGGAGGTGGGCCCTGCTCGGCATCAAAGTCTCACACCTCACTTGCCCACTAGCTCCTCAGCCAGGCTGGCCAACTTACTAAAGGCCCCCAGACCCAGCAAGAGTAGCAGGCTGAGGGTACCCTCCCCTCACACCTTCTCTTGATTTCCTAGGATTCTTCCACCATTGGAAGGCCCCCCTACCCAGGTGTCCCCTAGCGGCTCCGAACTTGGTGAGGGCTCCCAGCCTGATTGGCCAGGGGGCAGCCGCTATGACCTGGACGAGATTGACGCCTACTGGCTGGAACTCATCAACTCGGAGCTCAGGGAGATGGGTAGGTGACCCGCCAGCTGAGAATGGGGTGGGGCAGTGGCACCACCACTCACCCTCAGAAGGGCAGTGGCCATGTGGGCTTTGGCACGCCACAGGTCTGGGGGGAAAGTCCCTGCTGCATTACTGATCACTGTGCTTCAATTTCTGTAGCTCTCAGATGGAGGCAATGATAGCATGCCATTTATACGGTTTGGGGGAATACTGCCGTAAGTGTGGCTGTTGCATGAAGATTGAGTGAGCGCTAGGAGTCTAGGATTACAAATGGGGCCAGGGTCAGTTGGTATGGGCCTTCTGGCTGGAGCCCACCATGTCCCAAGAAGGGCCAGCTCTGCCATATTCGGCCACCTTCCCAGGTACCCCCCATACACATAGCTCGAGCAGTGGGTTCCCCACGGAGCCGGCTGCATCCCAGAGACACTTCATGGTATCTGTGTGTACACAAGCATGTGTGTGGTCGCAAGAAGTGTCTGAAGTCAACACCACACCAGGCCCCGGGGGCCTTTGAGGTTGCGTGGTCCAGCGCAGTCAGGTTTTGGACCATGGAGCTGGGGTCCTGAGGGTGCAACCAGTGAGTGGGTGGAAACCCTCCTGTACATCTGCCCTGAGAGGCCAGGCTCCTGACACCCTGCCCTGCTGTCCTCACAGAGAAGCCAGAGCTGGATGAACTGACGCTCGAGCGCGTACTGGAGGAGCTGGAGACTCTGTGCCACCAGAACATGGCACGGGCCATCGAGACGCAGGAGGGGCTGGGCATCGAGTATGATGAGGATGTCGTCTGTGATGTGTGCCGCTCTCCCGAGGGTGAAGATGGCAACGAGATGGTCTTCTGCGACAAATGCAACGTCTGCGTGCACCAGGTAGGCAGCCCCCATTGCCGTCACCATGCTGTGCGGGCAGGCCTCTGCCTGACCCGGTCACCCTGGCTGTAGGGGTGCTGCAGCACTGTGGGCATGGGCCCCTAAGAAGGAGGGCAAGGGGGTGGAAGGGAATGGCGTGAGTGCCCGTGGTGCCAGGGATACCCAGGGCCCCTCGGCTCAGCCCCCTCAGCCAGATTTGAGTAACGCCCATTGGATGGTCTTTCTGTCCTGTCCTGCCGGCCTCCCTCAGATCCTCCCCACTGAGCACCCTACCCCCTCCTCACCATCCTGACCTTACAACGAGGTAGGACAGTGTAGTGATCGAGAGCAGAGCCTGGAGCCAGGCCACCTGGTTTCAAACCATGGCTCTGCCCTTTGCAAGTTATTTGATTTGGGGCAAGTTTCTTAATCTCTCTGAGCCTCTGTTTCCTCAAGTATAAATAAAAGTAAGTTGTTGTGAGGATTAAGTTCCTTACTATGAGTCATTTGGTTAGAACGGTATAGTAAGAGTTGTTCGTGTTTGTTAACAGTATTGGTATTATAAACCAGGTGCCGCCTGACTAGGCTCCCCTCTTCATCTTGGGCCCCAAGGCTATAGGTCTGGGGCATCTCTGGGCCTTGTTTGTAGAAGATGTAGAAGACCTGACTGGAACCCAGTGGACCCACTCTGGCCCTAACTTTGAGGCCCTCCCTTACCCACTTCTGCTGGAATAGCACCCAGGGAGCTTAAAAGGGCTTCACCTGGCTGGCAGGTTGGTAGGCAGTGCACCACCCTCCTCATTCATCTATGTCCCTTATACCCAGCAGCTCTTAGATCCATAAGCCCTAGGTATTACCAGAAGGGTGCCCAATCACAGATCCCTGTGAAAAAAGATGAAAGCTCTGGGCCTTGTCCTCAGGCAGCATACATACCCAAATTTGTATTCAATTTTTTTTTTTTTTTTTAAAGCGGGCCTCTCACTGTTGTGGCCTCCCCCGTTGCGGAGCACAGGCCCTGGACGCGCAGGCTCAGCGGCCATGGCTCACAGGCCCAGCCGCTCCACGGCATGTGGGATCCTCCCAGACTGGGGCGTGAACCCGTGTCCCCTGCATCGGCAGGCGGACTCCCAACCACTGTGCCACCAGGGAAGCCCTTGTATTCAATTTAAGGGTATTCATGGATGCCCCTGAAATCCATCACTGGTTAGGAACCTCTGCCGAAGTGACTGACCTCCCAGCAGAGGGCAGAGCTGAGCCCTTTCACAGAGGACTGTGAGATGGTGAAATTTCAACGCACAACCCACGCAAAGAGAATCCCTGGAGCCCTTGCATTATAGTCCCTTAGGAGCTCTCTTTGGCAGAGATGAGTAGCAGTGTCACTCTGTAGCTCCTAGCTTGGGCTGGGGCTAGGACTGTTTGTAGCCGAATGCTGACCAGACGCAGATTGGCCAATGCCTCTGACCTGTGACCACCCTGCTCTTTCCCCAGGCATGCTACGGGATCCTCAAGGTGCCCACAGGCAGCTGGTTGTGCCGGACGTGTGCCCTGGGTGTCCAGCCGAAGTGCCTGCTCTGCCCCAAGCGAGGAGGAGCCTTGAAGCCCACTAGAAGTGGGACCAAGTGGGTGCACGTCAGCTGCGCTCTGTGGATTCCTGAGGTGGGCAGATGTGGGGCTGGGGCGGCCCTGGGGCACAGCCGTGGGGAAGTGGGTCTGAACAGAACTCAGAACCCCGACGGCAGAGCACTAGGAAAAGAAGGTGATGGGCCACGTTAAATGGCGGATCTCAGGTGTCGAGCCTGGGAAGAGCTCGGGCAGCAGCCCACAGGGAACTTTACCCATGGACCTAGGCAGAACTTGGGTGGCTATTTCCATGGGAAAATGGGATTATGAGCCACCGGAGGATCCAGGTGGTGTGAGAGCTGGACAGAAGTCAGGCAGCCGACTCTAGGGGAAAGCAGGTTATGGGTCTACCCAAATCTAGGCGGTGGTCCCAACCAAAGTCAAGTGCTTTTTTTAAAATGAAAATAAGCCAAATGACCTAAAAGGAAATCAGGTGGGGAGCCTGATGAAAATTGGAGAGTAGGGCTGTGGCTGGAATGGGGGGGTGGGCCCAGGTCTGAGTCTAGGGGGGTACTATGGACGATGGGCGGAGCCCACAGTGAGTTAGCAGAGGCCCTGGGCTCCTGTCTTACTTGAAATGTGAAATGCTGACATTCGCTGGCGTTTCAGCTCTCTCCCTGCTGTGTGCCCTGACCTAGAATGAGGCCCCACTCCAATGCTGCCTGTGCCCGGAAGCAAGCCAGGTGGCCCTGTCAGCAGGTGGCCCCTCCCCTTCCTGGGCTCGCAGTCTGAAAGTCCTTACTGGGACCCACATCACAGGTTTCTGTGATCATAGTGGTTATGTCAGCAATAGTCACTCACGGCCACATCAGCATCTTGAAGTCTGGGACTACCTCTGAGTATACCTGGTCTGGGCACAGCAGGGACACAGAGGATCAACAAGGACCTACCGTGGGGGCTCTTTGGTTCAGGATCTCTGGACGGGGGCCCTTTTTCCCTCCTCAGGCATGGGCAGTAGGAAGGCAAATGTACCCTGCCTCTGGGGCTGAGGAGTGGGCTGTGCCCAGGAGATGGGCATCGTTATAGCCCTGTCCCCATAGGAGGGGCTAAACAAAGGCACATCCCCCTTGGCCAGGAAAGCCCTGGAGGTCCCCAAGAAGAGATCCTACCATGGGGACCTATAGTCGCCACCCAGAAAGATAACTAAAATAAGTTCAAGTTCTAATAAGAACTCTGCAGATGCTATTAACAAAGGCCTGAGGTACAAAAGAGAGGGGGACCCTGCATGTACTCATTTGCACATGGAAGCATCTCTGTCTTGAGACTCACAGAGTCACAGGCACACATACGCTCAGTCAGCTGCACACACGGAAGCGCACTCTCCCAGTCACAGTCTAAGCCTAGCCGCTATAGAGCACACACTAACACAACATGGTCAACTTGGGAAGTCAGGAAGGACTTGGGACTCTCCCACTGCCGTGTCTGCCCACCACCTGGTTTCAGCAGACAGGCCCCCCATTTAGGTGATCCCTGGAGGCAGGCTGGGGATGAGAGGCCTGATGCAGCTCCCTGTGTCCTGCCCCAGGTCAGCATCGGGTGCCCCGAGAAGATGGAGCCCATCACCAAGATCTCGCATATCCCAGCCAGCCGCTGGGCTCTGTCCTGCAGCCTCTGCAAGGAGTGCACGGGCACCTGCATCCAGGTACACAGCCCCTTCACCCCGCTGCTGCCCGGGAGCCCATGTAGGAACCAGCTACACAGAGGGGTGTGTCTGGGACACCCTGTAAAGCAGGCCACTGCCAGCACCCTCCACCTGCCCCATGGTGCTACAGACAGAAGCACTGATGTGCCTGGGACAGGGACCAGAGCCAGCACCCCACCTGCCGGGCACTCCTCCATCCCTAGTTCCTCTAGGCATGGGTCACAGGCCTGGGGAGCCAGGCTCACCACCCCGTTACAGTACTGAGGGGGCTTTCCCCAAGAGCAAGGGTCTGTGGGCTTAATAAATACATTGACCTCTCTTCTGATGTCAAACTTGACATGTGAGAGGGGTAAGAATCAAACTTTTCCTCCAACTAAACTAACAGGCTCTCCCTACACATGGCAGGGCTGTGTTAGTTTGTTGACAGTAACGGTTCCCAAATTCTAGGGCGTATCAGTATTACCCAGAGGACTTGTTAAAACACAGATCGCTTGGCCTACCCCCCAGAGGTCCTAATTCTATAGATCTGTAGGTGGGGCTGAGAATTTGCATATTTCTAGCAAGCTCCCATGTGATATTGATGCTCCTGGCCTATAGGTTGGGAAGTGGGAGGATCATCCTTTCTCTCCCTTGTCTCTTCAGGAACAGTTGTCATTGTAAACACTAGATGTACTTCCACTCATTTATAAGACTTTCAGAATGGTTTGTGAGTGCAGCGTAAACGGCCACTAATATTTCGATGGGTTATTGCTGAAACAGTTGTCAGCTACCCACAGCCATCATCCCAGGTAACTCAGGCCCTGAGTTGGCCCTAACTGCCTGGACAGGAGAAGAAGGAAGGGACCCAACTCCAGCCCCTCTTCCCAGAGGACAAGGGAGGGGCACAACTCCCCATCTTAGATAACATTGCAGGAGCAGAGGAGGCAGGGACCCATCAACAGCCTCTTTCTTTCGATGCCTCAGATCCAAAGTCATTGTCCGCACAGAAGTGCAGCTTGTCCCCAGAGGGATTGTCAGTCATCTGATTGTTGACTTCCCCAGGGTATATGATGCTGTCCAGCTCCCCCAGAGCTCCCCTTCCCATCTTCCATGACTCCCTCCACAACCTGCAGGATGTTGGCAGCCCATGCCATTTTGTTTAGGGTCTCGCCAGCATTCTGCATTCTCAGTGTAACCCTGGGGGATGCCCCACATTCTTCTTCCCTCCCACCAGGGCTCCCTTCATACCTCACGCTGCCCTTCCTCTCCCTGTAGTGTTCCATGCCTTCCTGCGTCACGGCATTCCACGTCACATGCGCCTTTGACCACAGCCTGGAAATGAGGACTATATTAGCAGACAACGACGAGGTCAAGTTCAAGTCGTTCTGCCAGGAGCACAGTGATGGGGGCCCACGGGGTGAAACCACGTCCGAACCCGTGGAGCCCAGCCCAGCCAGCGAGGACCTGGAGAAGGTGACCCTACGCAAGCAACGGCTGCAGCAGCTGGAGGAAGACTTCTATGAGCTGGTGGAGCCAGCTGAGGTGGCTGAGCGCCTGGACCTGGCTGAGGTGCTGGTCGACTTCATCTACCAGTACTGGAAGCTGAAGAGGAAAGCCAACGCCAACCAGCCACTGCTGACGCCCAAGACCGACGAGGTGGACAACCTGGCCCAGCAGGAGCAGGACGTCCTCTACCGCCGCCTGAAGCTCTTCACGCACCTGCGGCAGGACCTGGAGAGAGTGAGTCCCCCTGCCGCCCCCCAACCCGCCTGCCCGGTGGGCAACCCAGGAGGCCTTTCCACCCCTCCCTCACTGCCCTGGAGCAGCCATGGTTCACCAGGATTCACATTGTGAGCTCTGGCCAAGGCGCTGAGGGCCTCGGGGTCTCAGACAGGGTTGGGGTAACTGAGAGTTTGTAGAACAGGGGAGGATCCAGCTCTGAGGTCTCTGAGCCCCTCTCGTCCCAGCCCTTTTGCAGGCCTGGTGAAGGGTGGGGCCCCTGCCAGGACTGTGAGGCTGGGAAACACCAGGGCTGGGGCAAGGACCCAAGCTCCTGACTCCTGGTGGTCTCTGTGGGCCCTGCCTGGTCCCAACACACGTGCTTTGCTTAGAGTCGGAGGCAGGGGAGGAGCTGGGAGTCACAAGTGAGTTGAATCAGTGTAATAAGCGCGTGCTGGGCCAAAGCAGGGAAGACAGGTGTGAGTGCAGCTCCTGGGGCTGCTGGATAGAGGAAACAGTACGAGCAGAGGTACGGGCTGGAGACCAGCTGCAGCCTGTGTGGAGTGGAAGGATGGGGCTGGGTGGGTGGACCAAGGTGTGTCTGGAAGCTGCAGAAGTGTTTTAAGCGGGGACTCTCCTGCTGTGGCTGCAGATTCCAAACGCTCACCCTGGAGGTGGAATCACAGGGCCCGGATGGAGTGAGTGGGTTGGCCAGAAGCCCTCAGCTGTGCCCTGGGAGGCAGGGGATCTTGCCTTGGTCCAGGCGCATCGCTTTGGGGGCTGAGTGAGATGAGGAAGATGTGCAGACACCTCGGTTTTGGGCTGGGCCGTGGAGGTTGGGGACCAGTGAGAGTTGCTTTCCTAGAGCCTGGAGGCCCTCCAGAGCCTCTAATGCCTGCTGTTCCTCCCAGAAAGAAGGGGAAAGAGTCCTGCCTTCTGTGGAGCATGCCCTTGAACTTGGCTTTTTTGGTACCCCTCCCCTGACTCCTCCAGCTGATAAAGTACCACCCCCCAAGTTGGGGGCACCCCAAGGATGAAGCAGGGTGTCCCAAGTCCTTGATCCAGTCCTCTGAACCCCAGGTTCCGTTCTGGCCTCTCCTCTGGGTGACATTCAGTTCTAGGATTCGGAGTATGAGAGGTCATGTCAGGGGGACACAGACTCACATGCCTGCCCGCTGCCCAGGCCATGCTGGGAAACAGCCGGGGTGGAAACATCAAGGGGGCTTTGTGTGACTTAAGGCAAGCTGCTTTACTTAGGCATGTCTCAGTTGGCGAGTCTGTAGAATATGGTTAGAGCAATTCAGCAGATGTTGTGCTGTGGGCTGGGCGGGGCGGGGCAGGGGGGCATGGAGGTGGAGGTTCTGAAACTGGACCCGGCTTCTCCACCCTCCTGCACCCCACGCATCTGCCCTGAGGCCTGGTCACGTGGAAATGACCCTGTTGGCCTGGGAGGGAGCTTACTGCCTGGCAGCCAGCCTGCCACCAGGTCAGAAGGTGGGGGGCAGGGGGATCACCAAATGTCCACGGCTCCAGCCAGGACAGAGAGCAGGGCCACCTACACTGCAGTCACCGCTTCCTGGGTAGCCCAGCCTCCCGTCTCCCAGGGCCATCAGGTACAAATCCTTCCGAGACCAAAGCTGCTTCCACACTTGTGCCCAGGCCACCCTCGAGTCTCCACCCGCAGGGTCTTGAGTACAGACACCCTGCTTTTAGCCCTCCTGTTTCCAAACGACTCATCACATCTGACCTCCCTGGTCCGTGCTGCTCAGCCCGCATGTCTGGCCCTGGCTAGGCTGCGTGGAGAGGCCAGGGGACGGGCTCGCCTATTGAACCATCATCCTGGAAAGAGAGATGAGAGGTAGATGTTGCCATCCGTAAGGAGCAGATGGGGAAGGTGGGGCTCAGAGAGGTGAAGAAAGCCTTGGAGGAATGTGTGTTTTCTAGAGTTGAGTTGAATTGGGGCCTGAGTAGGAGAGGAGTTTGTCAGAGAGTTGTTGGCTTATTCTCTATTCTGTACATTTTCTGGGCAAAAGTACCCCCTTATCAGTCCCCCGACCTCTCGACCCCATTGTCAGCTGGTACAGGTGAAGCCAGGGGCTGAGGTTGTCATGGGCTAGGATACTGAGGTAGCTCTGGGGCTCCTGGGTCTGTGCCTCACAGACCCCTTTGGTTGAGGCACAAAGCCCTCCAGGTGTGAGTTGGTCCACTCTTCCCCAGGAAGAGGAGGCAGGGCCAGCCCTGGAGTCTGTGCAGCTTCTCAGGGTTCAGGAGGGCCCTGTCAAAATGCTGCTTCTCCAGCAGCCTCCAGGCTGGGCTGAAGGGCACCAGCTGAGTGCAAGGCCAGGGAGTGCACAGCCCTGGCAGGCTGAGGAGAGGAAGTCCTACAGCCATGCGCCAGTTGACCCCCTCCGGTCCAGCCTCAGATCTTTTCACGGCCATGCGTCGGTGACTCGAGTGAGTGAACAGGGCCGAGAACTATGCCATGGGGGAGGCTTTCTGCAAAGACCCATGACTGTTGGTGGCCTGGCCAGCAGGCCCAGTCTCTGACCATGACCCTGTGCCAACAGTCAAGAGTATCCAGCCTGTCTCTGGGCACCACGCCAGCTTGGGCTGGAGGCATTGAGGATTCGAGGCAGGGGTTGAGACTGAGGTTGTGTGTAGCCTGGGTCTACATTCAGTTGCAGCACTTCCAGCGTTGTGCCTTCCGAGTTATAGTTTCTACTTCTCTGAGTTTCAGTTTCCTTTCCTGTAAAATGGGAATAAGGATCTAGCTGACCTTAGATCCCAGGAAAGATAGCGGATAGGGCTTAGCGCACTACCGTCCATTGTTAGCGGTGGTTATCGTTGCTGTTCTGTGTCTTAGAAGCGTGGGCTGCCCAGATGGCGGGCTCCAGGGAGGACTGAAAGGGCAGGCCCAGTGCTAAGGCCCAGGAATCATGCATCCTCCCTGATTGATTTGCCTCCCAAGGCAGGAGTTTTGCTGAGAGAAGCAGGGGTCATGCTACCACCAGCATGAAATCCCATTTTACGGTCAGCCTAGAAGATATGCTCTCCTAAGATTTCAGCCTTAGGCCTCAGCTGTGGCAGACAGCACAGGAAGGCATGGCCACTGCAGCCTCCCAGGGTTATTCACAGCTGACAAAAAAATTGCAGCTCTGATGATCAGCGATCAGCCCAACAAACACCGGTTGGTGTCCCCTAGCAACTGTGCTGGTAGCTTGGGCTACGTGGGGCCTCACTGCCTGTGGCTCTGGATCTGGTTACCAGGAGTTTATTGAAGGTTTCACCTGGCCTGAGAGGAGCCGAGAGGGCAGGGGCAGCTTTCAGACACACACGCCCCAGGGGATGGACATGTAGGAACTCCCCATAGCTCTCTCCAGGAGAGGAAGGTCCTGCCCTCCCCCACACTCGCCACCTGCTTCCTCAGCAGTTGTCACACCTCGTTTACTCTGTCCTCAGTGCCTGGGTTGTGTCTCCTTGACCTCCCACCAAAGCCTATCTTGTCCCGGGCAGCCGTGGCCTCCAGCCTCCAGCTCGTCAACCCCATGGCTCCCAACTCTAGGATTTTTTCCAACCCATTAGCCCCTCCACCCACTCAAAGCCTGTCACCCCCTCCTACTGCTTCGGGTCAATAGCCCCGAATCCCCAATCCCCCTTCTTCACCACAGTCTCCCATTCTCCCTGCTCAGTTCCTCCTTCACTGTCCCCTGCTTTCTTCACTCCCACCCCATGTGGCATTAGCTCACTGCCAGTCCCTTGCACCTGTGCAAAGGCCACACCCCAGGCAGAGCCTCACCCAGTAGGAGGCACTCAGCCCACCAGGAGCGATCCTACAGCAGTGAGCAAGTGAGCCCCCCAGGGTGCCTGCCAGCCAGCCTTGGTGGGACACTAGCCAGCCGCATTCTGGGCTCCCCCATTACCACCTGTCTGCACCGCTGCCCCCCTCCCTCAGGGCTCCCCCGTCTCTTAGCAGACCTCACCTCCTGTTCCTCAGACCAGAACCCTCCAACTCCTTGCCCGGTGGTGCCCTCTGTACCCATTCTCTGCCCTTTTCTCCCATGTCCTCCCCTCCCCGCCCCCCAGGGATTTCTTTCCAGCCCACACCCCGCAGCACAGGAGCATCTCTCTCGTCTTCACCCCCTCTCCGTCTCCAGGATTCCCCCAGTGTCCGAATTCATTTTACCTTCTCCCATCTTCAAAAGCAAGTCCTCCCTCCCCGTGTCCCTCTAGTCATGGGTTTCTCACCCTTGTTACTCTCTCTCCTTTTCTGTCATCCCTCACTGTTCTTACTTCCTTGCTTCTCACTCTGCCTAGGCTCCTGCCACCACCATATTCCAGAACCTTCCACCAGGGCCACCTACAGCCTCCATCTCCCAGTTCTCCATCCTCATCCCCCAGCCTTCTCAGCAGTGGTTGCCACAGTCAAGCATGCCCTTGGTCTTGAAACACTTTTCCTGTGGATGCTCTGACCAGATTCCCCCCGATACCCCAGTTCTGCTCCCTCTCTGAGTCCTCCTTGGTCCCAGCGATCATTCACCACACTAGGTCTGACCTCTCATTGCGCATCTGCTCCACAGCTTTACTCCCCATCAGGAGGCTGGCTCCAGCCCACACCTCCCTCCCCAGCTCCAGCATCTCATGCCCAGCATCCCCTGTCCCCACCACAACCTCCCCAGGCTCCATGAATGCCCCCTACACTGGCCCATTCTAGCTCAAGATAACTGGCTGGGAGTCCTCCCTGCCCCTCTCCTCTTCTCAGCCCACATCCAGGTTCTCTTTGCAAAACTTGCTGTTATCAAAACAATTTTATCAAAAAGTAAAACCTGCTTTTATTACTGATCCCTGCTGTAGTTCAGGGGGACTTTTCCACTTGATTCTATTTTGTACTCTTTGATTTTTTTTTTTTAAAGAGAACATTTTGTCTTTATAATAAGAAAAAAACAATGTAAGAAGTCTGATAGCCTGGGTGGGCTTCTAAGGTGGTATCTATAGTTTTCCCCAAAAGCCATCATGGAAGAGGAATTTTACAACATTCAGTAACATGTAGCTATATTACCAAGAATCTTGGGAGAAATTAGAGAAATAATTGATGATTCCAGAGTGAAGTGGGAATAAGGGGTCACAATGTGACCAAAGTACCAACCAAAGAATGTTGGCACCATTGGGATTCTCACAGAATCTTCCGTAGCAGGAATCTCCAGGCATTAGTGATTGTGTAATGTATGTACCCTTATCATGGAAAGAAAATTGAGCATTTACCTCCAATATATTGTATTTTTAGTATCTCATTTATATCTTCCATGGTATGTTATAAAAGCAAACCTAATCAGAATTTCTAATTGCACCAAAAAAAAAACCCAAACACTGGAAGTTCTAATATTTTCTTCCTATACTGTGATGAGCTGTCAAAATCAATAATAGCCCATGCAGCTCACTTTGGAGGCCCTTGGCCTAGGACAGTAGTTCTCAGGTTCCATGGTGCTATGTAAAATGTATATTTGAGGGCCCCCGCCTCCAGAGAGTTTGATATTCCCCCAAGCCTGGGAATCTGTATTTTTAACCAGACACCCCAGGGATTTGGGGGTAATCTTGGCCAGTAATTCATTTGAGCCTGCTTTAAGAAACCTTGCTCTAGTGTTTCGAAAAGATAAAAAAAGAAAAGAAAGAAACTACATCTGTTTTTGTTTGTTTGTTTTCGGTACACTGGCCTCTCACTGTTGTGGCCTCTCCTGTTGCGGAGCACAGGCTCCGGATGCGCAGGCTCAGCGGCCATGGCTCACGGGCCCAGCTGCTCCGCGGCATGTGGGATCTTCCCAGACCAGGGCATGAACCCGTGTCCCCTGCATCGGCAGGAGGACTCTCAACCACTGCGCCACCAGGGAAGCCCTACATCTGTATTTTAATAGGAAGTAGACCTTGGCTGATCTGTTTTTAGGCTGGAAATACTGAATGGTTTGTTCTTAGGCCTCCAAAGTAGCCACGAATCCATCCACCTCTCTTCATCCCTACTGTCCCCATGCGTACTTGGCCACATGACTGCCAGGAGGAAAGAGACCAGGATATGAGGAGGATAAGGTTTGGGCTGTTTAGATGTGGTGGACAGGAATGCCCTCTGGAGGTGATATTTGAGCCAAGACCTGAAGGATGAGGTCTAGCCTTGGGAAGAGAGGGTTGAAGAGCATTTGGGACCAAGAGTTGAATGTATATCAAGGCCCCAAGGCAGAAGTGGTCTGGACACAGAAAGAAAGGGACTGGAGGGCAGTGCGGCTGGAGCTTGGAGAACTGTGGGACATAGACTGTGAGGATGACAGTGGGAGGTCAAATTGGGCAAGGCTCTGAGCTGTGGCTCTGGTTTTTTTAAGTGTGACAGGAAGAAAACTATATCTGTTTCCTAGGGCTACTGCGACAAAGTACTACAAACTCCGTGGCTTTAAACAACATAAATTTGTTTTCTCACAGTTCTAGAGGCCAGAAATTCTAGCTCAAGGTGTTGGCAGGGTTGATTCCTCCTAGAGGCTCTGAGGCTGAAACTCTCCATACCTCTCTCCTAGCTTCCGGTGGTTGCTGGCAACCCTTGGTGCTCTGTGACTTGTAGACCCATGACTCCAGTCTCTGTCGTCACATGGCATTCTCTCAGTGTGTCTTCACATGGCCTTTTATAAGGACATTAGTCATTGCATTTAGGGCTCACTCATATCCAGTGTAATCTTAACTAATTACATCCAAGGTTCCAGGTGGACATAAATTTTAGGAAAGGACACTATTCAACCCAGTGCAGAATCTATTGGAGGTTTCAAGGGGAGGAGGATTTACATTTTAAGATTTACATTTGTATTTCAAGAATATTGCTCCAGGATAGCAGAGAGGTCAAAACAGCTGGCTGTCCAGGTGAAGATGATGGGGGTGTCCAGGAGGTGGAGGAAGCTGTTGGGATGGGAGGGAGTCAGGTTCACCAGGAACAGGAATTCCCTGTGGTATTCCCGTCCAGTGGTTAGGACTCCACGCTTTCACTGCATGGGCCCAGTTTCGATCCCTGGTCGGGGAACTAAGATCCCGCAAGCTGTGCAAAGCGGCCAAAAAAAAAAGTTCACCAGGAAGGACTGATGGGACATACTGATGGATCAGCTGTGGGGCAGATGAGGAGGGGCTGGGTCCTTAAGGATGACTCCTGGGTCTCAGCACTTACACATCCCTGCTCCCTGGTCCCCACCACCACCCACATCCCTCCACAGTTCCCCCTGACCTGGCTCAGTCAGGCCTCAGAGCCTGACACTCTAGCCACAAGGCCTTGCTCTCCTCTCCCCTACCTGGCCTTTCTCTGGGTTCTTGTCTTCAGCCTGTGTCCCTCTGTGATCACCTCCCACCTGGCCTATCTGCCCCTTTCTCCAGGGAACCTTCTCACCACCCCCAAGTCTGGGTCAGGGCTGCCTGGGTCAGTACTTGGTCAGCATCTCTCTGCTCTGCTGGGCAGCAAGCTCTCAGAAGAAAGGGGCCCTGGTGGCACTGCTCGTAGCTGAGCCCAGGGCCCGACACAAGCCTGTGCTTAGGGACATGTGGGAGGAGTCCAGGATCTGCAAGGAAGTCAGACGGTGCCAGTGAGCTGAAGCAAGGGCAGGCTGGGCCAGGTGGCTGCCCCTTGGGGAGGTGCTGGCCACAGGAGAGCCTGGCGTTCACAGTCTAGGCTGGGGTGCGGAGTACTGCTGAGAGTCCGTGCAGAACCTGTTCTCCAGAGGCCTGCTAGCCTGGTTCAGGTGTTCCGGCGTCTCCTGCACGACTAGACTCAGGAAGGAGAGGAGGAGGCCCACGCCAGCAGAGAGGTCTGATAACGGCTACCCCAGGGCAGTAGAAGTGATGGTCATGACAACAGGCAGGGGCTCTGGAACTCTCAAGTCATGCCCAGGCAGTTTAAGGATATGAAGACTGAACTCAGCCTTGAAGACGGAACCCAGCTGGAGGTAGAATCTGGTGGGACCCGGGATTCCAGTTCCGCACTTTCTGGCCAGCTGTCCCTGTTGCTGCTGGAGACTGTGACCCAAGCTGAAGAAGTGCCAGAGCAAGGCAGTGTCCTGATGGGGAGGAGGCCTGGTCTTGGTCCCAGAGGTGTGATGTACCCTGAGAGCAGCCGGTGAGGGATGGCACGCTGGGCAGAGGGAGGTGCCAGGTGGCCAGGGAGCAATGTGGCGCATCCTTCAGGTGCTTCCAGACCAGTTACAGGGTGGGCCCTGTCCCATGGGCTAAGCAAGCTGGTCTCCCAGGCCCTAAGGGGCTCTTCCTAGCTGGCCTAAGGGAGTCAGAGAGGCCCTGCCCTTCCCCACGAGGAGTTCTGTCTCTAGCCGACCGAATATGGCCGAGTGCACTTGGGCCCTTGACCAGAGCAGCTGTGGGCCTGGCTCAGGGCCAGGGCAGCAAGTGGACACGGGTCAGCTGCGGGCTGGACCGCTGTGCATCAGGCACAGCCTTCCGCTCAGAGCTCTTCTGCTGGAGCGCTCTCTACTCATGTGCCGGCCATTCGTGTCTCAGGATAGGAGGTGGTTTTTGCCCGGGTGCTTGTGGCTAAAGTTTCTTCAGTGGAAAGAAGGCTTGGACAGGAGCCAAGGGGTGAACTTGGTGATCTCTTGAGGTCCCCACAAGCCTTGGGGCACTGTGTATACAGGGCAGGGCAGCCACGTTGGAAGGGCCTTGGGCACTGGCATGACTCAGCCCGGAAGTTTAGGCCGAGAAGAGGAAGGCAGTCGCCCGCCTGAGCTCCGCAGATGCTCTCCCTGCTGGCTGTGATCCGAAACACAGCCTTGGCCCCGTGGTTTGGATCAGAGTGTTGCAGCTCAGGGCTGAGGATGCATTCAGGGCCTGGGTATTGATTCCCAGATGTCCTGGGCAGGTTAGGCAGTGGTGGCCCCTCAGAGCTAGGAGGTCTGGGTGGTTGCTTATGAGTAAGGTGGAAAACCTCTCTTGTGTTTCCTCAGGTTAGAAATCTGTGCTACATGGTGACAAGGCGCGAGAGAACGAAACACGCCATCTGCAAACTCCAGGAGCAGATATTCCACCTGCAGATGAAACTTATTGAACAGGATCTGTGTCGAGGTAGGCGTCCCCCCTGCTGGCCGCCGCCACCCCTCCTGTGCACACCCTCAAGGGGCTGGGTCCCAGTGAGGATGTGCATCTTCGGGGCCTGATGGGGCATGTGTACAGGGTCAGGGGCCACGGGCCCCCACCCCTACCCTCTGTATCCAGTTAGTAGGCCCAAGTGGGGCCCTGCCGGGGGTCCTAGGTGTGTGTTGGCAGGCAAGGGGCCAAAGATGCAATGTGGGCATCGGACCTGCCCTCGTGGAGCTTTGGTTCACAGGGTGCTCAGGCAGTGCTGGGCCATAGTGGTTCAGGAGGAAATTGCACGTGAACAGGTACAAACCAGAAGTCCCAGCGCCTCTGTGCTGGTGCTGGGGCAGGAAGGGCCCAAGCTGGCGAGCTTCCCTGAACCCCTGTGTGCCTGCGTTTCGATTCTGAAGAAGGCAGCTCTTACGCTTTTGCCATCACATGCATTTAACAGATCTGGAAGTCAAAGGTCAAAGAAGCTCTGACAGTGGTCTTACTTACTAGTTGTGGATATTGCTGGACAACAGGGCCCTTCCTGGACTGTTTACATGTTAAGGAAGGCAGGGCTTAGGCCAGAAAATGGTACTCTAATGTTGAATTGTATGCAGCAGAAATAGCTGGATGGAGAGATTTTTAAGCCAGGGGCTGCCACTGCCAACTCAGCCTGTGGGTCAGGCTGGGCCTGGAGTAGAGGGAGGAGAGCTGCCTGGCCACCACCAGAGCCAATGACTGAGAACCTGCTACTGCCCCACCCCTGCCCAAGAGCTGAGCTGCCTCGACTGCGCTTTGGAATCACCACCTACTCTGGCCCCAGAAGCCAGCACTGCCCAGGACAGGTGCTGGGTCATGGTGGGTCACAGCCATGTAGAGGTCAGGGCTGACTGTGTACCTCAAGGACTATGGCAGCTTCCTGGCTGCCCAACCTTTCCAGGCTCCCTCTCATCTGTCGGTTCCTTCGGCGAGCGCTGATTGAGTATAGACAGGATGCCGGGCTCTGTGGCGGGCACTGCGAGTACCCTGCCATGGACTGAATGGACAGGCTTCCTGTCCTCGTGGAGCTTACCATCTGGAAAGACAAAGGAAAGTGGTGTCCAAGGGGCTGCCGTTGGCGCCAGTGCAGGGACAGAGGTATCAGGGTTGGCTTCATGGTGGTGGTGTTGCCGGAACACCTCAGCCTTCTTAGGACTCACTATGGCCACACATCCAACTACAGGAAGGCAGTGGAGAGTGGTAAGGTGTGCCGTGCTCACAGGCACAGGATTCCAGAACCATGGTCAGGAGCTTGGAGGGTCGGCATCCCCGCATTGAGCTGGAGACATTCGCAGCTCCTAGACCGGAGTGGCAGCAACAGGCCACCTTTTGGTCAGGGCAGGGCATTTGGAGAGAAGATTAGTTGGCTTCTGAAGCTGATGCCCTCAGTGTTGTGACGCTTGACCCGTGGGGTGAGACATGGGCTACAGGCATATTGCTGAGGCCTGTCTGGCCAGAGGGCTAGAGAAGGTTTCCCAGGGGCAGTGTATTTAAGCTGTGAACTGAACCAGGTGAAGGACAGGGCAGGGAAACTGCATATTTGGAGACCTGGAGGCCAGAGCTGTCTTGTTAGAGAAACTGGAAGGAAACTGGCATATCTGCAACTAGGGCAGAAGGAAAATGTCTGAAGTGAGGCCGAGGGGTTGCCAGGGTCAGATGTGCAAGGTCTTGTGCCCTTGGAAGGAGCTCAGACCATGGTGAGGGCAGTGGGGGACTTGAGAAGCCCCTCTCTGAAGTATCTAGGCACCGGTCCCATGTGATAGATGAGAAGACTGAGGCCTGGCCTGAGGTTACACAGGGAATTAACAGCAGAGCTGGGAAGATTCCCGGAGTTGGGGCCACACTCCTCAACCTTCTCTTAAACGCTTACTCAGGAAGCTCTCCAGCCTCTGGCTGAGAAGCTGGGAGAAGATTCCTGGCAGCTCCCCACCACAACATGTCCCTCCCCTGCTCCATTGTGTTCTACGGCTCCCCAGACCCATGGGGTCATGGACTAAAAGGATATGAGGGCCAGGTGTGTACCCTGAGTCTCCCATCAAAGCAGACCAGGAGAGCGAGGCAGGGGACTTGCTCAAGGGCGCTGCCCGCTGTGTCAGGAGTGGAACCCACGGCTCTTCACTCCTCAGAGTGTCCTGTCCACCTTCAGGTCTGGCTCCTTGGCCTGGCATTTAAGGCCCTGCCCTGTCCACTCACCTCCAGCCTTCCCACCCACCAGGATTCTGTCCTGAGATCTTTAGGCCATATAGATCAGACGTCCAGATCCTACAAAGCGGTCTTCCACCCTCCTCGTGGCCCTGTGCCCCTCACCAAGCCCCTCAAGGGCAGTTACCCCTCTCTTCCACACTAGCTATTCCCCGACTCACTGGAGCCCCAGTTATCCCAGGTCCCACGTGGCTCAGAGCCTGGACCACAGAGGCAGGAGGAGGTGACCTAGAAGGCAAGGCACTGGCTGATGGGGAGGACTCCTTGGATGCCACAGAGTGGTCTTAGTTCTGGCTGGGCTGCTTGGGGTAACCATCTCCCTCCTGCTCTCTCTTTCCCTGACGCAGAGCGGTCTGGGAGGAGAGCAAAGGGCAAGAAGAGCGACTCGAAAAGGAAAGGCCGCGAGGGTCCGAAGGGCAGCCCCGAGAAGAAAGAGAAAGTGAAGGCAGGGTCCGACTCAGTCCTGGGGCAGCTTGGTGAGTGGCCTGGTGCACACAGCCAGGCTCATACCATCACTCCACTTGCAGCTCCCCACGAAAGGCCATGGGGACCACCAGCATCCCTGCTGCAGAGTGGGACGCCCGAGAGGGGTAGCCGGGCCCTTGCTTGCCCACGCACTCCTTCCAGCCATAAAGGAGGCTGGGGTCTGGCATCCTGAGAGTTCCTCTTTTGTAGACTGGAGACTGGGCCCAAGAGCTCAGGGACTGCTAGGCCATCCTGGCCCTTCCAGGAACCCAGCATCATGCTGGGAGGTGAGGGCCTGCCATCATTCTCTGTCCCTGTCCCCCTCTGCCAGAATGTCCTCAAATGGGCCTCCCTTCAGCCCCAGCAAATCTTCCGGGAGCCACCCAGAGAGACCCATAGGAGTGGCCCTGGCCCAGCCCATCTCATTGTCACAGACCTATTTGCTGCTGCCCCGTTAAGCACAGCAGTCCTAGAGGGACCCTCAGCCTTGGGCTTTGTCTCCTAGGATGTCACATGCTTCCTCTAGAGCACTTCTCAGGGCAGGGGTGGTGTCCCCTTCCCGACCTCACCTCTAGTGTAGAAGCCCCAGGTCATCTTTTATTTTCCTCAGTCTCAGGAAGGAAACAACTTGGGATCTAATGGGAAGCCCAGTCTCACCAGCTGCCACCTCCCAAGACCTCAGTAAAGGAGGGAGGGCCCATAGCTGGAGCTGGCCCTGGCATCCAAAAGGGACCTTCTACCCAGATATACCTTGCTGTCCGGTTCACGCCTGACGCCCATATCCAAGTTACCTGCTTTGGAAGCTCTGAGAAGCGACACATGAAAATCTAGTGCCCCCTGGTGGCCTGAGGGTGCTTTCCTCCATTCCTCCATCCCTTATGCCCCCAGGATACAGGGTGATGGGCAGGCCTGGGCGTCCACCTTGTGCAGTCTCGAAGGGCCCTAGCTTGGTTTCATGCTCTGCTGTTGCCACTTTGAAATTCTTAAAATTTTTGAACAGGGAACCCACATTTTCACTTTATGCTCTGCTTCTCAAACTGTGAAGCCTGTCCCAGGAGCAGGACGTCCTTCTGGGGAGAGGGGTATTTGGTGTGGAGCCTGCTTTTTGGCGGTGTTGGCAGGATGCATGGACGAAACAAGATAACTCAACAGGGTATATAGCACAGAGGGAAAGAGGGAGGAAGGTACGGTGGTGTGCAGGGGAGGGTCAGAGAGGGCTTCCTGAAGGAGAGTGGGACACACACCTGCTGGCATCTCACCTGCCTTCTTTCTCCCTTCGGCCAGGCCTGTCCACTTCGTTCCCCATCGACGGCACCTTCTTCAACAGCTGGCTGGCGCAGTCGGTGCAGATCACGGCAGAGAACATGGCCATGAGCGAGTGGTCGTTAAACAATGGGCACCGCGAGGACCCTGCTCCGGGGCTGCTGTCGGAGGAGCTGCTGCAGGACGAGGAGACGCTGCTGAGCTTCATGCGGGACCCCTCACTGCGACCTGGCGACCCTGCCAGGAAGACCCGTGGCCGCACCCGCCTGCCTGCCAAGAAGAAACCACCACAGGATGGGCCCGGTTCACGGACGACTCCAGACAAAACCCCCAAGAAGCCCTGGGGCCAGGATGCTGGCAGCGGCAAGGGGGGTCAGGGACCACCTGCCAGGAAGCCACCACGGCGAACGCCTTCTCACCTGCCATCCAGTCCTACAGCCGAGGACTGTCCCATCCCAGCAGCTCCCGAGAGCCCCCCACCGCTGGCCCCCGAGACCCCGGACGAGGCAGCCCCAATGGCTGCCGACTCGAATGTCCAAGTGCCTGGCCCTACGGCGAGTCCCAAGCCCTCAGGCCGGCTTCGGCCGCCCCGCGAGAGCAGGGGAACCCGGAGATCGCCAAGTGCCAGGCCTGATGCCGGGACAGGACCGCCGTCTGCTGTGGCCGAGAGGCCAAAGGTCAGCCTACACTTTGACACTGAGACTGATGGCTACTTCTCTGACGGGGAGATGAGCGACTCAGATGTGGAGGCCGAGGACAGCGGGGTGCAGCGGGGTCCCCGGGAAGCAGGGGCTGAGGAGGTGGTCCGCATGGGGGTACTGGCCTCCTAAGTCACCCCTACCCCTGTCCTGGGCCCTGCTCTGGTCCGCCCACGAGGCCTCAGCCCAGTCACAACTGCCATTTCCAATCTCTGCTGAGTGTCTCAGACCCTCGAGGCTGCCACTCTGTTGTGGTTTTATTTTTAATATAAAGAGAGTTTCGAATTCCACACTATTGTCTTTCCTCTGTGCTGGCCTAGGACGTTAGGATTCCTTACATGGCTCTGGCCACAAGGACCACACCAGGTTCTGGGCACCATCCCTGCCGCGGCAGCATCCCCGCCCAGCCCATGCGGTATTCCTGGGCTCCTGGCTACACGTAAGCAAGGTGAAGAAGAGCTCAGGACTCCAGCCTGCTGCCACTGGGTGACACAGAGTGTCATTTGGGCATTATTATGGCAGATGGGCCAGCCCAGGACCTGTCCCGCCTTGCCCCCAAATCCCACTGGGGTCCATCTGGGGGGTCCTGCTGCACTCCACTGATCCCCAAGGAAGTATAATAAGTGATACCCAGCCAGAGTCTACTCACTGTCACAAGCACAACGAGCTTATACGAGAAAGCACTGAGGGGGCGAAGAGGGCCTGCTGGTTCCAAGGGAGCCACAGCCGTTCCTGATCAACCCACATCATCAGAGGCCTGCCCGCCCACCCCGTGACCCTCCACTCCCTTGCTGCTCTGCCCCTGCCAGCGCCCAGCCCGGCGGCTCTGGGAAGGGCTTCCCAGAATCCTTCCTGAGCTGTGCCGTTTTCTCAGGGGACTCCCAGCCAGCCAGCCGCCAGTGCCGGCGGAGGGCTGCAAGGGAGGGCCAGTGCCCAGATGGGGGGCGTGGGGCTCAGACTCGCCCACTGCAGAGAATCGCTCTGGGACTCCAACTTCCTTCCTTCCTTCGGGGCCAGTCTCGGCCGAGGTCTGATCACTCCCAGATAGCTGACCTGACCAGACCAGACCACTTGCCTTTTCACGTTTCCCAGTCCTGCTAAGAGATGAGCTTCTTCCTCAGTTTCCTTTTGGAAACTCCTCTTTCCAACAAGCAGTGGGATCCCGGGGCCCAGGACGCGTCAGTGACGGCCTGCTGGGGCTGTTTTAAGTGTTGCTGGATCTCCCTGGTTCCTCCCTCCCTCCGAGCCTTAACCCCCTTTCCCAGCCATTCCCTCCCTCCCCACCATCACCATCCTGCCTTTCCCACCCCACCCTCTAGGTCCCAGGTAGTAGCTCTGAAGAGTTTCAGTGGAGTGGCCCCAGGGTGACAGCTCAGGGAACAAACAAAACAAGGAATTCAGTGAAAACATGTTTTTCTTTCTTTTATGAATTACTCCTGGATCACTTCTGCCACTGGTAAAGCCAGAACTTCTCCAACAAGAACCTTGCAAAAGTCCAGTGAATCAGTCGAATCATTCTGTGGATGCCAAAGAATATTTTGACCATAATACAGCACAGCCTGGACCTGACAACTTGTCACTTGGACTATTTTTTAAACGGAGCTCTTTAGCAACCAAGTATAGAAACATGTTCATCGCACACGTCCAGGAGGCGAGCGCAAGCTCTTGGACGAGGATGCTGTTCTGCTGCTGGTGTTGGATTTCAGATCCCCAGGCTGGGCCCACTGTGAGCTCTCCTGAACTCTGAGACTCACTGTGGGAGGAGACTGATGGCGAAACCAGCGTGGCAAAAGTGTTACCATGGGGTTGCCCCCACGTGACACACGAAGCGCAAATCGGCGGGATGGGGAAGCAACTCGAGCACCCATCCCCGACTCCAAATTTTCAAGGTACGACAGTGGCATGATCATCGACACTCAGTTTCATGTGAATTTTATCAAAACAGGAAACAAAGACAACGACTAAGTTTAAAGGGTCGGACAGATTTGTCCAGTTGGAGCAGACTCGGAGTGGGCTTCGAGGACTCTGGGCGTTGGGATGGCATGAGCTACCGTGTAGAGTTTAGTCTGCCTGCCCGCCCGCCTTGGCAGTAGTGGCCAGTGCAGTGTCACCATCAGCATCCCAACCCCATTCTCTGTTTACTGCCTTTGAATAGACCTTCCTTCCCCGTGCTTCGGGTCACCTCGGGCCACAACCTTGTCTGTGCTGGATTGCTCAGTCTGACCTCACAGGAAGCAAAAGGGACGAGCTTTAAAGAACAACCAAACTCTGCTGGGGGATGGGGGTGCCAGGAATGGCTCGGGTCCGGTAGACTCAGCACTTACCTGTTTACCCTTCATCCATCCTGAGGCAGAGTCTGGGCTCCCTGGGGGTGAGGGTAGGGAGAGAAGCAGGGTGGGAAGGCAGTGGGTCTGGCCAGGGTCTGGACTGTGTGGGCCAGGCCGGGCAGCCAGCACTCTTCAGAGGGCCTCTACTCAAGTCGGCCTCTGGATTCCGACCCTTTTCCCGATTGGCTCTTGCTTTTGGATTGAGCTATCCCTGGGGCCCACATCCTGCACGGAGTCCAAGTGTCTGTAAGGCTGGCTGGCCAGGATCTCCCAGGCCACGCCCTAGAGCTGTCCTTGTCAGGCAGCTGTCCACCCCTAGGATGTCCACCGGGCTGCAAAGCGGACGAGGATAACCGGTTCCCACTGCTGGCCTTTCTGCTATTAGCCACAGCCCCTTCGCTCTTTTTCCAGCCTGCCGACGGCTTTGCCGCCTCGGAGTTTAAGATGGGAAGCTGGGAAGAAGGTAGGAGGCCTTTTCCAGACCAGAGGCTGAGGCAGATCTTTCGCTTGACCGTATCTGATCACACTCACCGGCCCTCCTCAGGGAGGGAGAAGCTGCTCTGGAACTCATCCGGGCTGTCATCACCACCCTCCCAGTCCCCACTGCCCACCTCCTTCCCCCTCATCACAGTGAGAAAGGATAATGTGCAAGGAAAGTATTTTTATGGATCATAAATGTATTTTAGAACAAATAAGGAGAAGAAAGGTAGAAGGGTTTATTTTATTAAATGAGCTCTGACTCGGTGACAGTGTGTGAGCATTTGCAGTGTGAAGGTCTCAGGTTCCTTAGAGAAGCCACCCAGGTTTCCAAACGTGGGTGTTGGACTGTGGATGTGTGAGCCTGTTCCAGAGCACACCTTGTGTGTGTCTGAGTGCAGGCGTATCTGTGTGTGTCGTGTATGGGCACACGATGGGACTTGGGGGACAATTCCTAGAGAATCACCTGCTCGATTCTAACAGACATTGGCAGCAGCTGGATTTGGCGTTTCCTTGCTTACTGCCAGATGTGGCCAACCTCTGCCCATGCCCGAAGCTCTGTAGAATGGCCTGGGTGCCTGTAGCAAGGCCCTTGGGGAGGCCCCTTCCCATGCCCCTGGCCCAGCTGGCCACATTGGCCAAAGAGCCAGGCTGGAGTCTGGAGCCTTTGGTTGTTCTTTAAGGCACTCCCTGCTACTTTGTCCCTCAGATGCACAGCACTCTGCTCCACATCGGCTCGGGGTGGGGGGATGATATGAATGTCACAGGAGGAGACACCTTCTGTCTTTGTTTCAATGAAAGTGATGTGCCATTTGTTAATATACAAGAGAAATATTGAAAATATATTGAAAAGAGCAATTTTAAATTATTTTTGGCTTATGTTGCAATATTTATTTTCTTGTATTAGAAAAGATTCCTTTGTAGAGAAAAAATGTATTTTTCATTAACGCAAAAACCTATTTCTCCTTTTTGTACATTGTCCATGTTCGCTACCCTTCACGAGCAATAGAATGTATGGCCGCCTGGGGGTGGCCGGTGCCCGCGTGCCCTGCATGATTCTGTGTTGCCGCTGCCGCATAGCTCCCAGTCCCATCCTGTCCTGCTCACTCCTGGGGGTCTTCCAGAGCCCAGCCCCCACTAGGGCCCGTGTCTTCACGACCCCTCTGCACTCCTCATGTGTTGGCAAACGCAGTTAATAAAGCGATGTTTTCTGTGCTGGCTGGTGTGAGGCTCTGTTGCACCGGGGGCGGGGGGTGGAGGTTCACTGAAACAGCGAGTGTTCCCTGGCTGTCCGAAGGGACGTAGCAAGTGCTCAGTACGCACTGGGGCTGGGCATATTTCATTTTCTCCTCACTGCTTTCATCCCCTGGAGTTCAGAGTGGATGATGGAGCTTCGCAAAGCCACACCCCTGCTAAGAGGTGAAGTTCAGCGTTCAAGTCGGGACCCCTTGAGCCACCTACCTGGGGCAGTGGGAAGGTTTGGGAGGAAACTCAGGCCTCTGTCCCTAGATCAGGGAAGGCTTTTGCCCAGGCTTGTTTTTCACTCATTATTTCCTGAGTACTTACTCCAGACCAGGCTCTGTAAAGTATGGGGAATGTAGCCACCATCTATCTCTGCCCTGGGGAAGCTCACAGACCAGCAGGGACACAATGAGGGAACTGGGAGGTACTATGGAGGCCTGGGCTGACTGGGCAGAGGTGCATTCAGGTTACTCTGAGGAAGCAACACCATTCGTTCATGCATGCATTCATTCATTCACTTGACAATTAGTCTACTGAGCATACATCTCATTCTGCCAGTGTGCTGGGTCGTACACTGTGGATGGCACCAGGACCCTGCCCTCCCGGAGCTTCCAGACTTCCAGGCGTCGTAGACTTGAAGAATAACTAGTTGATCGCCCAAGGGGAGCTGGCTGGGCGGAAGGGGCAACAAGCGCTCTGGGTAGAGGGCTCAGCAAGCGCAAAGATGGATTAATCTACGTGCAGAGGGGTTTTGAACCTCCTCTGAGAGCCCAAGGGGAGGCTGTGTGGAAAGGGGCTTGAATTGAGACTCAAGGAATCTAGCTTCTGGGGCCGCTGACTTAGTTGTTAACCACAGAGAACTGCCCCATTTCCTCACTGATGCAGTAGAAAGAAGGTAAGTCCCCGAGGGCACCTCCAGATCCAAAGTTCTGTGATTCCCCCCGATGCAGAAAAGTGATGGAAAGAAACCTGGGGTGAGCGAATGTGCTTTGAATGCCTATGGAGGGAGGTGTCCCTCACTGAGGGGCCACATCCCTGCTGCTGGGACCTGGGAACCCTGTCTGACAGAGCTGTGTGGGTTCTTTCAGGGCACCCAGCTCAGCATCCTCAACCACAGTCAGCATGAGGTGCTGGTGGATCAGCCCCAGGGTTGAGGGGGCTCCTGCTCGGCCAGCCCCCCTAGCTGTGGTTTGGGGCTGTCAGCTCTCTGGGCCAGCTGCCCTGGGCTCGGCACCCCAGCCTCTCCCTCCTCCCAAATCCAGGCCCACTTGACCGCAGTGCTCCAGAAGAGTGATGCAGGGGCTCCGTGGCCAGACCTGCAGCTGCAAAGCTGTGGGGCAGGAGAGGTCAAGGTACCTGTGGGTCCAAAGCAGCAATGTGCAGTAGAAATAAAGTGAGCCACATATGTAATTCTAGTAGCCACATTTTTAACAAGTAAAAAGAAACAGGTAAAATGAATTTTTTTATTTTTTAATTTTTTTATTTAATGCATTATATCCAAACTATGATCACTTGAACCTGTAATCAATATAAAATAATTACTAATGAGCCAATGGCACAGGAATCCGAGGGGAGGCCAGGTGTCCACTCCCGCCGTTTCGTTCATGCACACATGGATTCAGCACTCACGGGGCATCAGCTGTTGGGCCCTGAGGACTCTGGGATGACCACATGCCCCTCTGCAGAGACCAGGCCAGTGTGGGAGACAAACTTTAATCCGATAGTCCCAAAACCATGTGCAATGACACACAGACTGCGCGGCAGCGGGGAGGGACTCTCGTGCCCACCCTGAACTTGCCTTGATCTTGTGAAACTCCTGCAGGGTAGGATCTGGGACGCCATCTGCTGCCCAGCCCTGATGCCGGATGATATGTGTTTTTTTTGCCACAATTTTTTAAAAAAAAGAATACTATATAGGAAAAAAAAAAGTAACCCTGCTACATTTCATAATGTATGACTGCTTTGCTGCAACAACAAACACAATGTTAAGGAAAAAGAAGCCATTCTAAAACATTAAAAAGAAAAAAGAGAGGATTCCCTGGCGGTCCAGTGGTTAGGTCTTTCTGCTCTCACTGCCGGGGGCCCGGCTACGATCCCGGGTTGGGGAACTATGACCTCGCAAGCTGTGCAGTGCGGCCAAAAAAATGTTGTTAATTAAAAAAAATTTTAATTTAAAAAATTAAAAACAAAAAGAGTTCACATTGGGCCTCTCTGCCTTTCCTAGAGCACCCATGACTCCCCTGGGCCCCCCAACTCAAACTCAAGTCTTCTTTTTATTTTAACCCAACCCTCACAGTTTTTTGCACAGCACTGTAGGAAAATATGTCTGACCCAGGCTGAGGAAACCAGGGTTCTACTCTTCTCTCTGCCGTTGACTTGATGTACCTCAGTTTTCCCATCTGTAAAATGGGAGAAGAGGTTGGGGATACTGCTTTCTCTAGGTCCTGGGAGGAGGGTCCATGGTCAGAGGATGTGGTCAGTGAGGATCAGGTCAGAGTCTGCCGGGGCCCTTCATTTTACCTTAAGTCCAGCTGGGTGAGGTGGGGCTGGCTGGCAGAGGGGGCTACATGAGCCTCCAGACTGAACAGAGCAAGAGCAGGAAGACGCTGCAGGCTTTCACACAATCAGAATGCCATCATGGCCGCTGATTCATCTGTCACCAGGTGAGGGGTCAGTAGGAGCATAGCATTAGCCATAGGTGTGATCATGAGGTGAGACACAAGGTCCGGTTGGGACGGTGACAGGGTTAAGCACTGAGCAGGGCCTGCAGGCACTGGAAGGAAGGTGAGGTGTCCGTCCTCCAGGCTTGGGTATGGGGCCGAGGCCTCACTGGCAGGGCTGGGCGGGGGGGCGCTCTGTGATTTGGGTGACAGCAATTGTAGGGTGGGCTTGTCCAGGTCTAGGGGTTTGGGTTCAGTGGGCAATTCTCCCTTATTCTCCCTCCATCCTCAGTTAACATTAGCTAACTGTGGCCGTTCAGGTCCAGAGAATTCATCCATGAACACACCACAAAGGAGAAAGTGACTAGAAATGGATTCTTGTGGGCCTTATGGTAATGGAGAATTAGGGACTGTGTTTTGGCCCTTTCTGGGCCTCAGTTTCCTCATCTGTCAAATGAGGATGAGAGTTCCTACTGGGCCCACCATGCCGGGTGGCTGAGAGTTCCTACTGGGCATGGATGTGAAGGGAACAGAATGAGGAACCACTGACTGGGTGAGGGGAGGGGGAACAGCGGTTTAGGCAGAGGGCGCTCTAGCGCTGGCAGACTGACCAGAGGCCAGGAGGCCAGAGGGATTTGTTTACTGAGTCCCGGAATCCTAGAGGCGAAGCTCCGCTGTTTACAAGTTCTCACGGGTCTTCCTGCGCCCAAGCAGGACACCTGTGGTCTGGGGGGGCAGGGCAGGGACTGGCCACGTGCGGCCTGGGCGGGGCCGGCTAAGGGCGGGTTGTAAGCACCTGGTGTTCATCAGGGAAGCCATTCAAGTGATGCCTGTGCCAGTCAGCTGCCTATGCCTGAGAAACACCCACCTTCCCAGCATTCCTGGTTCCTCGGTGGCCATCCTGAAACCTCGTAACCCAGGAGGCCCGAGGTAGCCGAATTCCTCCTGTCCGGCACCCTCACCCTCTTTTGCAAAGAAGGAACGTTGCATTGCTGGGGACTGAATGTTGGGAGCAACACGAAACTCAGAAGAGCACCAGGGTTTGCAGGAGAAGCCAAGTAAGAAAAGTGACTCAGCAAAATAAACCATCACCTGTGGATATTCTGAACTGCTATCTTGGGACGCTGGGTGATTGCCTGGTTCTGGCGACAGGTGCTTGGTATACAAAACTTTGTTTCCCACACGCCAGCTGTAATACTCGTGCTCATCAGCGTACAGAAGGAAGCCCAGGAGACTTGGGAAGGAGCTGCCATGGACGGGCCTGATAGCTGCCTCGCCCCTACGTAAGACTCCTAAATGGGTTCACGGCAAAGGGAGCAGTGTGCTCTGTAGGGACGTCAGGAACCAGAGGGGTTGCTTAAATCTTAGGGACCCCTCTGCCCTCCAGGAGCACATCCTTCTGGTCAAGAAAGTGTATGGGACCAGTACCAACCTGCACCGTCAGTCCTGGGTCCTACCTGGCCCTCATCTGAGGAGCCGCATCTGGGTGATAGGACCTCAGTGTTTAGGGGGATGGGGGGCGTGAAAGCACGTCTTGTCCACCACCTTCTCTAGGACAGCCTCTGAATTCTAGTGACAGAGAGCCTGTCACTTTATAAGCAACCCACTGCTAAGCCATCTGTATTAAATTTAAAAATGTCTTCCTTAAATTCAACTGTAATTGTCACTCTGAAACGATGTTTCTATTCACAGGCGGTTCTGAGCCCGGGAGCCACAGAGGTCAAGTCCAGTCCAGTGTCTGCTGGGCAGCCCTTGGGCTGTGTGATAAGTTAGGACACCCTGCCCACCTGACTTTTCAAGTTCAGGACTTTTCTAGGGGATTAGAAGGCAGGGTACTCCCCTCATCTACTTCTATTACGCTTCTCCTGCTCGATGGATGGACCCACCAGATCCCCACACTGTGCAGGCAAAGCCAGTCCCAGGTAAGAGGTGCATGGAGAGGGGGGTCAGAGAGGCACAGATGTGGTCTCAGCTCCCCACTCCCAGCAGTACCCTCAGGGAGCCCCACTCCCTCAGCCCGATGTCTTGTAGGTTGTGTAGCTGTGTCAACAGCTCCAGCTTGTGTTTTATTTTGACCTCAAACATGTGTCTTCCCCATTGTCAGTGCCACACATTCTGGTGCACATGCTCAGTGTGGCATTTTGGGGATACATGTCTGTCCAGATGTTCTCAGCTTCAAATAGTGTATCCTGATCTGATGGCCCCATGAGCAGGCTCCCCTGGTGGATCCCCGGCTCCTGCCTTGGGCTGGAAAACATGGTCATACATCATAAAATGTTGGTTTCGGAATCAGTGTCAGAAGTAGCCTACTTATGACAGGTGAGAAGCAGGTTGAAAGATGAGAAGGATCAGCCCCGCTCTTCTGCCTCCTTCTCAGTTCAGGCCTCATGTTTTCCTCTTTCCCTCCACTGACATTTCCTTCTAAGATGCTCTCCACACAGCACCTCTTCAGATTCTGGGCTCTACCGGCCCCAAATCACAGCGTGCCCTTTTCTGCCGTGCCTCTGTCATCGCCATGCTGTCTGCTCGCACTGTTCTCTCACCCCTTCTCCACTAACCAGTTTATACACCTTCAAGATTCAGCTCTGGTGCCCCTTTTCTAGAAACCTCGATGGGGTTTGGGGGCCTTTCCCTTTTGCCTTCCATGGTGCCTTGGGCAGATCTCTGCCCATTTTTCATCATTCCATGCTAGTCCCCAGCAGGCAGGTGTTGAGGAAATTCCTGCTGACTGACTGGTGGAAGGGCAAACAGAAAGTAAGGCAAAATGTCCCAACCTGAATCCAATACCAGCACAATACTTGCAAAGTCCCTGGTGATAACGGTTTTCCACACGTAAGGTTTTGTATATGTGAGAGAGAAAAAAAAGAGAGAACCTGGTGAGTAGCGACCCCGCCTCCTACTTTGCCCAGCCCAGCCCAGCGCGTGGAGTGGTGGGCAAAGGCACTGCTTCTCCAAAGACGCAAGGCAGATTGAGGGCCCAGAGAATCTGAGAGGGGTCCCCATGCCACCCGACTGCCAGAGGCCTGTGGATTCTGAACCTGGCCCCAAAGAGCAGCTGAGGTGGAAAAAGAGACTGTTCTCTAAGCATCTTTGTGCCACTGCCATCTGCTGCAGTCGGGAAAGAAAGCAGCGTCGCGTGGTTTCCTTCAGGAGCTGTCAGAGCTGTGTCCCCATGCAATAGAGCCCCTAGTTGTAGATAAGCTCTGGGGCCCAGAACAGGGCTGGAACTCTCCTGTTCTGCCCCTTACCCAAAAAGGGGCTCTTGGCCATTCAGGTCTCGAAAGTGAAGTCCCTAGAATGGAGGAAAGTCAACATGAGTTTCTCCAGACTGCAATCAATCTGGCGTGGCTTCCCAACCAAGAGGTGGATCTAGAGAGCTCAACCCAAACCCAAGGGCCAGGAGAAAACCCTAAAAACGGTGCTGTAACTCGGTAATGTTTATAATCTCTAGTGTCTGAGATTTTGCTAATCCCGGATGAAATGAGACTACAATTCCACTGATGAGGGTCACATTCAGTTCCTTTTAGCTCAAGAAAGTAGTAAACCAAAATCTCCATTTGTGACCCCCAGGTGTTTCTCTGTCCACCTGTACCTCACCTCCAATTATTTCTTCCCTTTGTTTATTTTACCAGCCATGAAACGTGACACCTGTGAAGATTCTGACTGGAGGACTGATACCCATTAACCCAGGCCCTTTCAATACAATCAGGTAAGAAAGCGCTTCAAGTCTTCTTTTTGCAACATTACCAGCTTGTTCGTAGTGGCATAGTGCCGTCACTGAAGTCATAGTGACTTTAATAAACGTGTTAAATGGTTCACCATAGTGCCCCCAATCAAAACCCACATTCCAAAGCGAGGCTTCCTTTGTTTACTAAATAATAGCCAGAAAATTATTGTCTTGGTGTCTGATTTTAAATAAATTGAGTTGAGAGGCTTTGTAAACACAGGCTCTGACCTTTGTCAATTAACTGAATCCCCAGTTGAACCCTTTATAAGGGACGCGGCAGGAACAGGGCCTGTTCTAGGACCTTTGTTAATCATCAGGTTTCTAAGCTGCTGTTCTCACCTTTCAATTAGGAGGATGGTGGCCGCCACCCAAAGGGCTTCTTTTACAGTTTCCTAGTTCCTCTATTCCCAAAAAGGTGTTTTCCACACTCTTTTGGGGGCTATGACATTGCATTACTTGTAGCTTTAGTACAAATATCAGATAGTCTAGTGGGATAGTATATAGCTAAATTCAAGAAAATGAGCTAAATAAACTGGACTTTATTTTCTTAGCATTTATCCCTTCAGTGCATTCACTACCTACCTATTAGTTTCAGTTCAACAAATAACTTGAGTCCATACTAAATCTCTATTTGATGGACCCAACTGTAGTAGAATCATGATTGTTTATGTTAAGAGTTAGCATAAAGCTTGATGTCCTGCACACTGTTAGTGGGAAGGTTAAAGGGATGGCTGTAGAAAGGTTTTATATTTGGATTTAAGTCTCAAAAGTAGCTTGATAACCCTTAACAAAATGATAAAATTTTTCATTCGAGTCACCTGAGGAGTTGAAGAAAGTCTGCATCCTGAGGGCAGCCTGGGCTTTGGGTGATTCTGAATTGCAGCCAAGGTTGAGAACCACCGACTACAGGTTACACTGACATAGGATTTACTAATAAATGAATTCTCAGGGGAAAAAAAAAAGATACATTTTTTTCTTCCCTGATTGGCCAATGACCATTTAGTGTTACTAGTATTTAGTGTTATATTACTGTTTTTCCTAAATGAAAATCCACACACTTTGGCACCAGGAAAACCTGAGAACCTTGTTGAAGATTTGGATTTCTGCCCTCCACCCCACCCCGGATTTACTGAATCACAATATTTGGTGGGATTTTTTTTCTTGTGTGTTTTAAAGCCAGCTCTGCCCCGCCCCCCGACACACACTCAGGAGATTCCGATGCATACTAAAGCTAGAGAACCTTGATGTAGATAAAACCAACCAGCTGCCTTATTTTTCACATTTCAACGGACTTGGCATTGTGTAAGTCCTACTACAGTGTGCCCATGAGTTGTTTTCAGTCTTACAAGGCAAATTAGGCCTCGGTACTTAATTTAAGCAAAGGTTCCTTGGAATCCTTGCACAAAGGGTACGTTCTATAATCTTAATAATTTCGAAGTCCAAGAAATTTCTAATAAGCACAATGAAAATTACAATTGGATGGTAAAAATGGGACTTGACACCAGAGTGTTTCAAAGACCAGGTAATCATTTTATTTTTCTATTCCTGACACTCAAATTCATAGGGGGTGAAAAGACAATAGAACATAATCAAAATAACACACAAACACAATTCAAGGACATTTAACCAACTATTATAGCTGTTCTTTGTAAAATATATAAAGGTAAACAAACATCTTTATATAAATTAATGCTTAACAATCTGTATACACTGTAAAACAATTGTTAAAATTCACACTAAGATGCTAGTGCAAGCAGTGGTGTACAAAAGTGCAAACAAGGTTAGTGATGAAAAACTTATCACTGACTTACCACTTCAACATACTCTGCATTCAGTCAAATACTGAAGGCCTCACCACGGAAAACACTTTTATCCCTTTTAAAGTTATGTGACTACATTCACCCTGAGTGCTCTTGCCTCAGTATGGCAACTGATTATGAGTTCAGGTTAGGAGCAGCACCAGGGAATCCAGAAACCCATGTGAAGTTGGCCATTCTGATGTGAATCTTCGTACTTGATAATGAAAACAATTTCAAGGACAGCTTGTATGTCAAAAACTGTAGAACTGTCACCTCCCTTGACCCTCAAATATTTAAAACTAAAATTAAATCTAATTCCCCCGCTTCATTTAAAATACATGCTGAAGAATTCATCCACTCCAGTGTGGCTTTTCCACAGAAAATAATTCTGCATGAAATCACTCAAAAGCCTTTCCTATTTCTGTCCTAAAATCTATTTGGGGTGGGGGCACTCCTGAAACAAAGTTTACTTTGGATAAATTTGCTTTACTGTGATTACTTTGGACTCCGTTTAAAAGTGTGGTCAAAGCCTGGAACAATCGATCAGAGGTACTAAATATATTAGCTACTTAATGTTCCAAATTATGAGGACAAAAATTAGTTCAAAACTGCATCTTCAACAGACTCTGTAGATTCCCTTTATACTCAGGGATCTTTTTATCCAGGTGTGGGCTGGGGTATGTGAGGGGTAATGGTTCCAGGGTTCAAGAGTAGAAACATGGTTTTAACAAAATTCCAATCACTTTACACAGAGGCACAGTCCCTATATTTTTAAGAGCTTGTCCTCTTTCTTTTCTTTTTCCTCTTTTTCTTTTTTTTTTTTTTGGTTAAAAAGCACTAATTTGCATTTCAAAAGGACAATGATGGAAATGACCAGAAACATAAATATAGAGCTTTGAGAATTTAGTCCTTAATTGAAGATATACTGTTTTCTGAACTCTTAACTATTTATTACAAAAAAAAATTTTAATGTTTATAGAAAACCTTTAATTCCCTATTAATTTTGCATCCAGAAGTTTATATTTGCTAATCTCTGCTTTTTTCATGCTCTCTTGGAGACTTTTTGAAGCTTCACCAACTTTTACATACGTTTAAAATGATTCAAACAGGGACTTCCCTGGCAGTCTCCACGATTCCAATGCAGGGGACACGGCGATCCCTGGTCGGGGAACTAAGATCCCGCATGCTGCATGGCACGGCCAGAAAAAAAAAAATCCAAACCATATACTCTAAATAAAATCAACACAAGATTTTCTGAGAGACTTCCTTTTATATTAGCTATTTTCAATGTACTCTGGTCAAAATTTATTTGGCAATAGAAGTCTTGCAAACTTCAGTCCTGTAAGTGACTAAGACTGAAATGCTACGTTGAGCCACATACCAAGTACAGTTTCAGAAAATGTAAACCTGTCTCCTGAAACTCTCAAATCATGTCAACTAGAGGTATTCTGTTTTTAATGATGGAACTTGTGAAAATGCTGGGTTAATTAAATCATTTTGCAGAAGGCAAGAAACGCTATTATCAAATATTACTCTATTTTAATGATTTACAAGTAACTTACATGCTGGAAAGCACTACACAGAAGTGTGAGCCAGTTGAAAACTAAAGAAAAGAAATGTTCTGTGTATACACTGTAAACCACAGTAAATTTGTATATGTACACAGGCACACAAAACTAAAATTTAGATCTATGCAGGCAGTATCTGAATTCATACTTCTTTGGCACTCAAAGATACTGGGTCAACTAAGCCAATGGTGAAGAATATTTTTTCATATGCTTTAGGAAATATCTGTGCCCCAATTTTTAAAAATGCTATAATCTTCAATCTAAAATTTCATCAAGATAAACTGGAATCCATCAATTTAAACAGTTACACAAAAGTATAATTAACAGCAGTCATTGAAACAGGTGTGAGGTTGAGAAGCTCTTCTTTAAAAATACAAAAGCCAGCTGAGACCCTCTATTTTTAGTTTTGGACTTAAGATTTTAAAACATCTTTTGAACACTTCCTGATTTATATGGAATCCAATCTTAACTTGTATACAACAGTGTTAATTACATTTTCACACTTTACAGTGGGAGGAACAAAATTAACCTATGTCCCCAATACTACCATTTACCCAAAAACTACTCCGCAAATGTGCACACTTGCACAGGCACATACAGAGTATATGTTTTCCCCATGTGCTTTTACTGCTTCTTGGCATTCTCTTAACTTGCTTCTCCTGAAGGAAGCAGTGACTTAGTGTATATGCTCTGAGGAGCTCTCAGAACTAGATGGTATGCCCAATGGCTGGGGAACTCTGAGGCCCATCTCCCTGGAGCTGGCAAGAAAGTGCAGCTTCATTTCCAGAGGTTCAGGCCATAAGACTCTTACATCATTGGGAAAATATCCACAGTTTAGTGCGGTCCACAAAGTGACTTTGTTCCTTTGATCCCAGTGACAGACCTAGAATGAGAGTTCTGGAACAATATATTTTGTACCAGAAAGCAAATCCCCTCTAGAGAAACCACTAAGCTTTTTCCTTTATACCAATTTATAACACAAATAATTAACTTCTCAATTATCACAATAGATACTAGGAAATACTTGAAGAAAGGCATGTCCCTGTAAATATTGAAAAGATACCATCAACAAGAGGCAATTACTTTTAATAAGGCTTAGTTCTGTCTGGTCAAGACGTTAAAAATGAGTACTTTAAACATATCTGGCAGAATAAACCAAGAGGCTGAAATGTCATTTGCTACTTTTCCCATGGTGTTACTGATGTCTCTAGGCAGGGAGAAAGCTTTTTATTTTCATTTAGAAGGAAGCTGAAAGTGAAATAGAATAGGTGAATTCCTAAAACCAAATGTCATGGTGAAATGACCTTGTTGGTTTAGCTAACTGGTAATTCCTTCCAGGCATATCCTTCAATCCTTATTTGCTTCATATATTACATTATTGATGACAGAAAGGACTACAGTAACTCTGATTTAGACAATAGCTAGAGAAAAACACTGATTCTGATATTAAAATTACTCTTGATGGAATTGGAGCAATCTATTCTCAATGGAATTGGTTAAATATACTATGAAACCTTGGTTTATGACCAAGAGAGGAAATCTTAAGCTTGACAGTCTTTAAAAGTAAATATTTGGCACTTGTCTTTCAGCGAATTATGGGAATCTCTGACATATGGAAAAAATAACTCAATTTCTTAGGAAATTAAAATGCTTTAAAAAGCTAACTAAAATCTTACTAGAAAGCCTGTCAATGAGGTTTGCAGACACTATCACATGGCAAGAATTGTATCTAAAAACAAAAGCCTTTTGTGCTATAAAGTGAGAGCTAGCTGAGAATAAAAAAAAAGAAAATTAAATACATGGATTCA